GTGTCCTTTCGGCCGCCTGCAGAAACTGCATTCTGCAAAAAAGGACTGCGTATGCAGAGGCAGTCTTTCTCATTGATTTACGATGCTCTTTTAAATTCAATTACATTTTACGGAAAAAATTGCGCAAAATATTTTTTCGTGTACTCATTTGGTAGAGAATTCTGATTTCCCTAATTTTACACTTGAAGAGAGAATGTCTTTTGGTTGTAAAACGTTTTCTATTATGAATTTGTTTAAGACCAATAAATTTTCATTCATGCAGCATCGGATCAAAATGTTTATGAGTGCTTCTTATAAATTATACAACCTGGTCCACATCCACTGAACAGTTTCTTCAGCCCTTTATAGAATCTACTTGACGGCTTAGAGAACTATGTAATATTTGTTTAACGGAATGCATGCAGCATGTGATTCGAAAAGCTTAAATGCAAGTGTAGCGTTAAGTAAGATAAAAACAGTTATTCAATTTTTAAAAAGCTTTAAAAGCCAACAATATATTCTTTTCTCAAACGGATGATTTAAAAAGACAAACGTTTTTACCACCTGAGTACAAGAGGGGACATTCTGTCCAGGTTTTCTATAAAATATAATTGAAGTCATACGACCGCTGAAAAGACTCTTATGCAAAAGCTAGCACCCTGCCGTGACTGAAATATTCCAGGATTATGCTGCATATTAATCAGTGTTGCAACTCGACGTAGGTGAAACTTCTGTAACTGAAAGCATATTTTAGAATATAAGTTAACATTTCATCAGATAACCCATCTACTGTATACTGAGAAGTTCCAAACTTTGGAACTATCGAATAACAGAATGCACGTGTACATACGTTCCGCCCTGTTAGATCTGATAGAAAGTGCCCCTATCACTTAAATCACGGGGGTGTGTCCTTAATGACCAATTTATTTAAATCACTGTATGGAAGGAGTACGTGATCGATCCAAACGACGAAGGGAATAAATCCTAAAGTGCCAAAAACACGGAAACTACTCCACGGACTTACTGTGCAACTGTATAAAATATTCCCATGAGTACAGTTTTTGTTTTCAACGCCGTTTCATTTGCTTACAAAATGCTCTACCTGATACTAAAACGCCTGTTCTTTCCTCGCCCCGGTCACTTTTCTGAACACCTCTGGTTCTTTACATATCAAAAGCCCCCACACCAGCGATAGAGACAGGGCGAAAATTTCACTGTTTAAAGTCTGTTGGCACACCAGTGTTGACTGGGCTAAAATAACGGACTAGTTGTGACTCAGCGATTGAGCTTTTCCCTTTCATTAACCGGATTACCGTCTCATATATAAACACACAGAGTTTGGGAAAAAACTGCTTCCCGACTGACCGTGTACATAAATCTAGGAGGGAGTTCAAATTAAAGTTTTCTCTACAGAATTTCCCAGGAATCATCATCAAATTTGCAACGTACTCGAGAATACTGGATGGAAAACTACCATCTAGTCCAGTATCCTTAGACTAGACTCGTTAACATCCTATAGACTTTTTTCTGTTAAAACAGAAAGATGTTGAATTCAAGTGTTTTATGGTTCACTACCGTCCGATTGTGGAATAATTGTCCAATAATCATGGAGGTTTGCACAAAATATCTTACTGGGGGAAAAACAGGCAGACGTTTAAAAATGGATAATTCCTGCATCTTCACTGTGTCGAGCGCTCGTAGGAATCTTTGATTCATTTAGATTTACTTCACTGTTATTCACTTAGACGTCTGTCCCTTCATTGGGATTGGCAGGCTAGTGGATTATGGCAGACTAAACCATGAGCCAACGAAACATCAGACCATAGTTTTGTAGGCTTACTCTTAACAGAATCTTAAGAACAGGGCACATTACCACATGGTGCAGATGCAATCGAACGGTTGTAGCTTGTCAAGAAAGAGTTACTTAAATATTTTACAAATGTGCCATAATAAATTAGTTGTTTATGATACTTTCCATATGAAACTTTTACTTTCCAGTATAATAACCGTGGAGAGGTTCTGAATAAATTACATATGCCAATTGGAAACAGCATGTCCGGGAAGAAGTCCAGTAAGTCGAGCATTAATTCCGATGAGAGAGGTATGAGCTACTTACCTAATGTAACTTTGCTAGGAAACGCAGTTTTTGCACGAAACTTCAGTCATCAATGTGAAGAAAATGGACTTTCTTCCATACCAGTCCTAAAATTCAAGCAAATAATTTTGCCTGAGAAGACTCCGCGGGTACGCTAAATTTAGCATTAATCAATGCAGATTCTCCGTTTGTGCCTATTCACGTTTAATTCATGTAAAAGTTAACTAAGGTAGTTGGTTACGTTTTTCGAACGTTTTTCTCTGTCATAAATGTTTATTTTTCACCTATCAATTGTAGAAAAACAACAAAAAAGAGTCGACACGAAAAACTGCAACGTCTATACAGCCAGGTACCGTGGACTCGGATGATTCTTCAGGTACACCAGGAGGTTGACGAATTCCGCAGTAGCATATTACTTTTAACAAAAAGTTTTGTGAAAAACTGTTCGAGAGTCTTTGCAAAATGCATGTACTTACAAAATCTTCTCCAAAACGAGGGTCTAATTCAGCAAATGAAGACCATTGTGGTCGGTACATTAAGGAACTAGCAGTTGTGTTTTTATCTTAAAATCTACTGAAATCGCGTAATTCACCAACCAAGAAACTTGTTTGGGCAGGTGTTTGAACCACTTATCACCCGAATTTCAGCCGAATGTTCTACCACTTGGATTACCGAGAAGACGACTGCTGGATTTGTGAAATTCGATAGTTCCTTTTTTCGGCACCAAGTGGGTTTAGTGTTTTCAGAACTCGACAAAACCACAGAATGTGTACTGCATAATGGACAAAGAAAATGAATTTAGAGTTAGGCAACTTACATACTGTTTGAATGAAAACAGCAAAATTATAACTGCCAAAAATATTTAAAAGACTAAATTTGTCTTTTGACGTAAATACTTTGCTTTTATCACATTTCAGATCCTAAAACGTTCAAGATTGTAGACAATCTGCATTTTCAACAACCATGTGTTGAATTGTGGCAAAAAACGCAGGGAAGCCCAGATACGGTACAAGAAATACGGATAAGAGGTTTGTTATTTGCTTCGGGCTCATACGATTTTCGCAGGATGGAAATTCGATGAAGATATCTACACTCAACTGAAGCCGTTGTTTCTCAATTTCAAGGGTTTGCACACACTTATGTACGTTTCAATACTTCAACTACCAACGGGTAGAGAGAAGTTTAGATGACTAAATCTTCATGGGTAAAGGTCAGGTCTAAAGAAATCGCAAAAGGACAATGAATTCCAGGATGTAACGCAAACCTGTCCTCTTTTTTGCAGTGATCCCTTGCTATGTCACGCTTCAACTTAAGAGGCTTCACTCTATCGCAGGTTTTATATGTCCAGTTGGTTTTGTGGAATCTCAGCTTATATATAATAGAATATAAAAGGTTTATGCCGTGCAAAAATCTGAAAGATGTTGACAGATAAGTGAAAGGGTTTATAAAGGCTTAAATATACAAAATAAGCATGAAAATACACGCAGTTTTTACTTCGCGCATTTTCTGCAATGTAACCCGATGAGGGATCACTGTGTACATTGAATTTTATGAGTAGGAGGAATATTTCCGGTATATGGGGGGAATATGACAAAGTGTCTCATTTTTAGACTTGCGTATTAGGAAGGAAAACGGGGGATATAGTAATTAGTAAAGATGATCATTCAGATTAGACTATTTTTGGGAACTGCAAAAGGATAGATTTTTTTAGCTCTTGAGCGCATGAATCATTTCGCGTTATACTTGCTTTTTCCTGCGGAAAACGTTTTTTGACAAAATACCCTGAGAAAGGGAACAACAACTTACTGTTTCTTTGTAAAAATGCAGATTTTGGAACGCTGGATTAACGTCGCAGATGATAATTAATATCGGCTCCTTCGTCGCAGAATCGAAAAAGTTGAGGCAAGTTGAAAAGTATTGTACTCGTTAATATCAACTGTGGACCGAAGCAAAAAATTAGGCGCCTTATGCTGCAAAGTGGCCTTTATATTCTGTAAACTAGAATTCTGTCATAATACGCAACCGCTCATCTAACTATATAAAATAAGTAGGGGAAAAACAATCAGAGGATATGCATACATGTTATCAAAACCGAGGGTTTCTGTAGCAAAAACAATGTCCTCATTAACCAAATTCTTAGTATAAATACGACGACAATGAAGAAAAGTATTCTAAAAATCCATGTTTTTCAAAGAGCTATTTTTTAAAAAAAACAAAGTGTGATAAAGACATAAAGTTCTTAGATACTTTGCGTACAAACAAACAATACAGGTTCTTATTAGGAATTATGGCTACTTGTCAGAATTAAGTCCATTAGGTTCTCTATACCTTTCCGATACTTTCATCAGTAATTCCGTCAGTCCCGGTTTTCCCTAGTTCTCCCTATACGAAGTGTACATTCAACAAGGTTCCCAACGGCAAATGTATCAAAATTGACCAAAACCTTCTCAGTGTTGATAAATTCGTAGAGACTGAGAAGCGCAGTCTACGAAACTGGACTAGAAAAAAGTAAAAGCGCTTGTGGCAAGTTCTCAGTTTTGGTTGTCTGGTGTATAGAAATCCGTAAATACTCTCAATGAGATGAGAAAGAACAAGTTTAGATATATTCGTGTTACTCATAGCGGGTGGATTATAGTTCTCAGACGTTATGAAAATTAGTCGGTTTCGTTTTGAACAACCACCATAAGAAAGGAAATCAAAGAAATGACAAGAGATGGTTTGCATTGTATTGTTATAAGCCTTGCAAAATATAGGGCGCATCCACTATAAGCCTTCTACTACTGAGACTACTTTTTATAAAGTAAAGGTGACGAAACATCTCGAAGTCAATAATGTTACAATTTTTTGGCATCTTATGCTGCTGTTAATGGTCATTGACTGGTTTAAAGTTAGCGCTTCAATAAAAAGGCAGTCTAAGGGCTGCAAAATGGGCCGGACACAAGCAGCAGGTAGTGTTGATCAGGCATCCTCTTACGTTCAGTCGATCACAGAGGACGTTCGACGACGTCAGGGTCATTGGTATCAGTCCCGGGCAGCAGCCCTCTGGCGTATCAATATTCCAGTCCTTGTCACACATCAGTTACCTTCGCCTGAGCAGAATTCTACTGCCTCAGTCAGCGAGTATCCGGAGGCAGATTTATAGGGTACCAGCAGTCGGTGCAGTGTACCAGACTAACTCCATGATCCAAAGGCATTCACTCAGAATAAACGACCCATTTCGCGATATTAACCGTCGAGGGTAATCTGTCTGGCTTGTCGCTATCAAACGCAAAGCCAATTTGCCAGAGGAACTTAAAGGAGAAGTCTGTGTATATCGAGTTGCAGAATCTCTCTCGGTGCAACCGGGAACAGTTTAATGGGCTGCGGGTTTCTAGAGTGTTGGTTTTCCGACCAATAATTTAAAAAAATGTTTCGGAGATTTTAACGCAGTTCGTCGGCGGTTGAAATGCTTCAGTGTCAAAATCGGCAGGTGAAGCAGATAGTGGTCCCAAGTGCAATTAGTGACAGATCTCATGAAATTTTAAGCGAAATCTTGTAATGCATCTTCAGTTAGGAAGGATTACTTAAGTAGGATTGCAGTACTGACTATCGTGAAGCATGTACTTCTCGTATTTGAGACACAACAGGATTCTGGCTTTTGAATGAACTTGTTCTTGGTCGCCCGAAGACAATTCACTAGACAAAATGGCTACTTAAGAAGTACGTTGTTATCTATTAATTTTCGACACCCTTATAAACTCGCGTGTTTTATAGAAAACATGCTCACTTTGGTTTACCTTATGCTCGTTTGGTAGTAAATCAATCCATTTTTAAATTTGACACTTAAGGAATGGGTAAATTAAGGTTTCAAGGAAGTTTATAACTATGTGGGTTTTTGGATTTCTCCCTGTCCATTCAAAAAGCATAATATCAGCCTGTTAATTAATGCTTCCCATAAAGTGTACAGCCTAGCCCAAATTCCTTGCAAGTCGCATAATTTTCCTTACACGGAAGGCATACACCTTGTACACTTAAAACCCTAAACGTTAAGATAACGGAAAGTTGGGCTCAAACGTAATCTGGAATTATAAGACTTTTTTAAACCTTCTTTTATCCCATTTTGAGTATCGACTTTAAGGACTAAGTAATTTGCTATCAGTTGGGCGCAGAAAAAATACTTTTGTGCATATTTACTATAAAATGTACGTGAACTTATAATAACATCGGAAACCAATAGAAAAAATCATACTGATGAAGTAATCAATTTAACCAAGTGTTTTTTTACAGGCGATAAAAGAGAAGTTCATACAAAAGTTGGCATTATGAAATAACTGATATTCTGGGAAGACAATTTTGGAACTTTACTTAACATTTCACGAGATCGGCCGCTGACTTTAAGTCGGTGTAAACAAAAATGCAAAAAATAAAGAATGCATCTTGAATAAAATGTAAAGCTTGCGGTTGTCAACATCAAGGATCGTGAACTGCACAGCAAAATGCGTCTGCCAGCCTTCGGTGTAGCACTAGGTAGGGCAAATTTCTTTATTCAGACATGTTCTCTAAAAATAAAAAAAGTTGAAGTACTGATTTGTTTGTTTGGATCACGTTTTTTAGGATTCTAAAGGTGGAGGCAAATAACTTGATCGAACCGGAGACATATCACGAACTTATTCCACCGGAGAACAGGTAAGCAACTTTGTCCGCATTACTGACGGGGATCAAAGATATAGCAGAAATTCTGTTGCTCAAAAACACATAAACAAATAAAATTTTGCAGTAGACCGTTGTGCCTTTGGAATAATATCCATATTGTTGAGGTCTCGATCAGGCACATTTTCCTCGAGAAACTGTAAACTCTTTTTACTAAACTCCTTTAATGGTGCATTTTAATATTTTTTAAATTCAACAGAGTCATCCCGCGCAGTTAGCTGCTGTGAGCGGCCTTTGTTTTACACGAAGATATAAGGAATCGTAAGCTTGAACTGAAAAACATGAGAAGATATAAGTCAAACATCTAAATAATTTTGGATCGACTATGTGAGCCATGTTTCATGCTCAGTTTCCTAGAAAGAAAGTTCCAAGGAAGACTGAGTAAGATGACTGGCGAAAAAATGTTTATGACCTTGACAAGTATATATTGTTGCTGATGAACGTCGTCGGATCCTGGAGACGAAGTTTAACCCGCGGCGGTCGATACAAGGAGTCATTCATAGATTCAACTGGTTACGCGGACCATGTTCTGAATACGAATTCCGGCTAGATCGCAGTTGGTAGCCAGGCCCCGTATTACAGGTGGCGGGGGCTTGTTTACTGGGGCTATTTTGTGGGACTCCATAATCACATCTGACCCATTTGACTTCCGTTTTACGTTTGAGGTTAGGATTAGGGTACCGGTTAATGATTCCCGATTTTCGGGTTAGGGTCCAACTGCGATCTGGCCCGAACCAAATTCCTACATATACAGAAAAACAATTAGTCTGCACTTTTGGAGCCGTTACATCTAAGATCGTCGCTCTCATTATGCCATCATTCGCATGTCTCCCTTGTAGTAGTCTCGTTCATCTGAGCCTGCGGTTTACCAAACTGAGTGCCGAGGGCATTCACGAAGTCGCTAAACGTTTAGGCAACAGAACCAAGTGGAACAACTCTATTGTTTCTCTCGACCTCACAGGGTGTGGGGTTACAGACCTTGGAATGTGCTACCTTGCGGAGGTACGTTAAAATGTTATGCGTAGGTGCAGTAGTCGAATTCAAGTTTGGTTTGCGATATTGGCCAAATTTACACATGTAATACAATTTAAATAATAAGTCAAATGTACGGGCAAGTAGATAATTATGCTGTAATACAATTATGCACGTAAGATACCTTTCATATATACACAAGAGTAATAGATTATGCATTTATATGTGGGATTTACTACAATACATATTAAAAAGTCAGTTTGCAAACATGTGTTTTCGGTAATCCATCGTCAGGCTAATACAATGACTTGGAGAATAAACTTGTGAGATATAGACAGGATTTAAACATGTCCCAGGATCAGATTTAGTCAAACTCCTTGTTTCCACGACGCCTTCATGACGGAGTCAGCGTGTTAAGAACGATGGAGCTGGGGTGGGGGGACAAGAGGAGGGGTTAGGGTTAGGTTGTGATCATTGTCTCTATGTCAAACACGCGGAGTGTGTGTGTGACTGTTCTCAGGACTTCGGGGCGGCGTGCGATCAGCACCTAGAGTCGGCCAACAAAGACAGACTGCCTATGTCAACGTCTTCCGACAACAGAGTGCTGGATTCCCTAACTGAATGGGCACCGCCCCAGCTGCTGCTAGAATCCGTTTGCGTAGGCTTTTAGAGTAGTGTGCTGCCGCCCGGTAGATAACTTCAAAGGTTTCTTTGACGTTGGCTTGGTGGTTCATATCGGTTAGATGTGCAAGAATTGAACTTGAAATCGGCCTACTTTGCCCTTTTCCTAGCCTGGCAGACATGCGTTCGCGTACCCTCCTTTTCAGACGCCTCGTTGTACGGCCAATGATTTCCGCTCCACAGGAGCCGGTGGGCGAATAAATACACATCGATGTGGCCTACAAAGGCAGTCGGTATTTGTCCCCCAACCGTATAAGGGGAGAGATTGTGAAGAATATGCGCAAGTTCGCCGGGGGAAGGAACTCATTGTAATCGTTCTTAGACGTCGTTTTACTATACAGATACATCAATACATATGGCGCCTTCTTCGAAATACTGCACTGGACCTATGACACCCATATTTTATGATATTAGCAGTGTATGTGTACAAGGTGCCCCAAAACGGACCAGGAGGTAGATGTGCTGGGCCAACGCGGGGACCCACAACATACACTTGACCAGGATTTTTCCAAAACAACAACACCCCAACAGGGGGTTAGAAGGATGAGGATGATGACTGGACAGCCATGCCCACCACCTGTATACCCGGCGGGAGCGCAAGCGCATCCACCAGCAAGTAACCGGATGTCAGGGAACTGTCAGCGCATACTAGGCTGCGAGGGCCATGGTTTGCTGATACTGGCAGAACACACGCTTTCAAATCTTTTGACCTAGATGGCGACACGTGACCCTGCATTTAGTCTGGGCCGTCACCCTTCAAGGTTGGGTGATCAAACAGTCGTCGGCTGAGTGGCACTATCCATAAGCACGCCGCCCTAACTCCCTGAGGACAATCATGCGTATTCCGCGAGCTTAACACGACAGTTTGACCGGCAATCTCGACGATGTCCACCGTCTGCTCCACAGCGAGGTGACGGCAGAGATGGTGACTTGCGCATGAATTTATTTATAGTTATAGTGGATTTGCGAAGCACCTACCGCATTTTCTCCTCCTACCCCGCCTGCACTCGCTGTCAAGATGGAGTTAAGATAACCGAAGGCAGGAGGGGGCGCAAGTAGCTGGCACGGCCGGACCCACACCTAGGCGTACCGCACACCCCCTGGTCCACGACGTACACTGGCCAGGATCTTAAATGCAAGAAGAGAAGAGGGAAGATAGTGTTTGACATACCGACCGCTCATACCCTACTCCCAACACTCCCTCCCTCAGCCACGACGACCACAACACTCCGACTTCATCACACGGGCTGCGCGGGAGCGAATGTAACACCGCCCCAAAGCAACCATGCGCAATAGGGTCATGAAAATTAAAAACCGGTTAAAGCCTGAAGCGCAATCTGGAGTAATGTGTCGCATTCCGTGTCAAAATTGTCCGTGTAACTACACAGGGCAGACTGGGCACATGCTCGGATCGCGCATACACGAACGTAAACTGGCTGTGCGATGAGGCGACGCATTATCACAAGTGGCCGCCCACACCTACGAAGTGGGTCACGAATTTAACTTTGCGGCCACCAAAATAGTCGCCCACGCCGGAAACAAAACAGGCCGAGAATTGATTGAAGCCTGGGTCTCGGATGAGAGCTCGGTCAATCGATTTATCGATCTGGCGCCGGCGTACAGAGCCCTGCGCAGTCACCTCCAGTCCTGCGCCGTCGGTCGATGATTGGCCTACATGCCTTATAACTGTCGCTTGTTCTGTTGCTGCTACTACCTCTGACGATGGACTCCTGCACGAGTCTGAAAGTTCAGGACAATAAAGGAGGTGTTCCGGTGCTCACATCTTCTTCTTCATTTATGCATACACCTGGAACGCGAAATTTCGCCTTCATTCGTGTAACTAATCCCCTTGAAACATAAAAACCTGTCCTTGGCTCACATATTTAACGTCTATGTAATTTCAGTAACCCAATGATCAATTACCGAAATCATCTGTCTCTCAATTGATTTTTACAAAGTACGTTTTACCACAAGACTAATAAAAACCCCCATAAGGGAGGCAATTTGTCAAAGATGAACGCTTACATAATACAAAGATAAGGCAGTTTTGACAGCATGCGACGTGATCTTTACGTCTACCGACTGAATTTGTCGTAATTTCATTTATTTCGCGCATACTGTTAAGATAAAGGAACAAAGACGAACGAGAATAGTCATTCACAGGAAAACATTTGTTAAAATGATTCTCGGGCGAACTTAAAAGAGCTCCCTGTCGTCTATGTTCGCTGTGTCGACCTGACATGTGTCAAGTCTCAAGCTAAGGAAAGTTTTAGCTCCACTTTTCACGTTAAAAATTACTGTTTTGGTAACCAATGCGTGACGCTTTTGAAGTCAAATTTTCAAGGCCAATTTTGGCTCTCATAGGCCCTCCGAACGAACCGACGGCTGAAGTTCTTGACGCTGGCAAACAATCAAATCGGTGACCTGGGAGTGATGGCTCTGTGTGAGGTAAACATAAAAATGCAACACTTCTGACTCTTTGGCTTAACAACCGAAGGGAAAACATGACAGGAGATGTGAAACACATACGCTCGAATTCTGTCAAAATGGGGAACCTATAATTAAATTTGGAAGTAAACGCCTAAATAATCTGTGTTATGTTGATGTCAGCCAGACGTTCTACGCAAAACCTACTCAGGGACTAGAAGTAATTTTTTTTTAAAAAAAACAACCAAATAGAATATTCGCTCTTTCAAAGCTTATTTTCGGGAAAGATGTCGGCACCTGAATAGTTACATGCAGGTCAACTACCCTACTATGTACACAGCCTTCCGGCAGGCTTAGCTGCCGTCAAAGGTAAAAAGCAGACTTTTTTCTATATGAATGTTCCGCGAATTCCAATACATACTGATGTTAACCGCAGCTGCTTTTCACGGATGGGATTGAAACAAATGTCTGCCTGTGGGCAGACAAGATTTTGCTGATAGAAGCGAACAGGCGAGTTCCAGGTAGCAGTTCAGAAGACGAAGATGCGATCACTGAAACAAGAAATTTATTGGCCTGACGTTTCGGATTCTCACTCGAATCAAGATTTTGTTTAAGACACTTATTCGTATTCGAGGCTACATGAGAGTGAGACCCTCTGTTCTGTACGGACTGCTGGACGGACTACCAACGCTACGTTTTGACTAGGGACTTTACGCCCCGAGGGAAGACAAAAGAGGATGACGCGTACCAACGGGCTCCGAGCTGAAGATCAAAGCAAAACAGGACTTTCATTTGCCACCTTTCAATCAAGATAGATAAATGAACTCCACATAAGTTGGACTTTAAATATTTGCCACCGTGACCGACAGGGCGTGGGTCCCTGACTCAACGACCAAAGGCCCACGGTTCAAGTTCCGCGTTTTCCGTGTGAAGTGCAAACGGCTTTTAAGAGAATTCATTGTCTCACATATGTAAATATTGTAATACGCCCAAGGTTTACTGTCAACTCCATCCGGGAAGCCAATACTTTACTTCCGCTGTAGTGTGGTATCATTCAAAACTTGTTATATGCACACTGGACAGCATACGAAGAGAATTGCAAACTCAAGGGCTGAGAATATATAAATCTGCCTACACTTTTGGGATAGTTTGTGCCCTTTTATTTTAAAGATCCTGGTTTTTCAGTTTATTTGGTAAGGATAATAGACAAGGCCTTTGAAAACCCTATTGATTACATGTCAGCCCGTTAGATACAACAGTACACGAACGATGAAAATCGTCGCTATTAAACAGTACTTGATTCATTTAAGTAGCATTGTTTCAAAAAAATTCCGGGGATCGCAGTGCACAGTTAGTGACCTAACTCATGAAATGTGTCGAAATTTACGAATGATTACTAATCACTCGCAAACCGACACCATTTCATGAGTCAAATGTCTATGTTAATTAAGTACAAGTTTAAAAGAATTGAAGACATAAAAGAAATATTATAGGCAGCGTTGTGTTGTTTAGAAATGTCGATTTATTTTGAAAAGCGCAATATCCCGAAAACGTCAGAAATGCCTCTTATTAAGTTAAGTTCGTTTTTAGATGTATAGAATGCAATCTCATACCAAACACGTAGTAAATATGAAAGTAGACATAAAATAACGTCTAATAACAGTGTTTTAGTGAAGTTTACATCTAAATATCGCTTAAAAAGTAGTGTGACTTCATATATGACGGTTTGTCCACTGCCTACATTCTTAGTATAGATTCCACAACAGTTTTCCAGTGTTTCATAATTTCATTTACTAGTTGGAGTTAAATGAGATGGGGTTCAACAAGAGAAGCTGGATTTTGCTTGATTTCGCCGATGGGGACGTCGTAGGATCAAAAGTTTTCTTAAGGTGACATGAAATAAAATTTCCAGTCCGGCTTAATCTGTTTATTAAAACTCTCGAGGGTAAATTACTGTCCTTTTAATGAAAAAGTCGCTCAGATGCGTAACTGGAGTCTAGGACATGTATTAGCATAGGTAATTGCACGAATATATTCCAACGTCTATTTTCGCTAAAATTTACTGATATTTTACTTGATATAATTACGTAAACACAATTTCTGAACAAGAAAAGGACATTTCATTGAAGGATGTGGGTGAGCAAACAAAATGCGCCACGTTAAAGGTGTCCAGAAATTATCTCATCAGTTTCCGTTATCAGATTTCATGAGATAGGTCACGTACTGTATAGAGCCCAGGTTCAGACTGTCGAGGGAAAACAGGGGACACAAATAATCCTCCAAACGTTTCTTGAAGAGTTGCAGGGACTTCGCCTCAACGACTGATTGAATGAGATTGTTCCATTTCTCCACAACTCTTTGCGTGAAAAATTCAGAACAAAGATTCAGCCTTGACATATTTGTGCATATATTCATCGAGTGACCACGAAGACTGAATGAAAGGTGCCACTGAAAAGTGTCCTCAAGACTAAGTCCATCAATAAGTTCCTGAAAGGTTTGGAAATAAAAGACGTTTTTGGGGATTGAAGAGGCCCCAACTTCGGCACGTGAGGAGTAGTTTTACCATATACAAGGTGAAGGCTGCTCGCTGACCCTCTGGGTGTACTACCCACCTACAGTCACACTTGTTAAACTTTAAATGCGAACTTCCCAGACGTCATCTGCATACACGCAGCTTGAAGTGAAAGTTCAGCGATGGGCAGGTTTTTGACAAAAAAACTGTTTGGGACTCCTTTTGACGAACTGTCACAACAGTCGGCCAAGTTGACTACCAACACAGAAATTTATTGTCAATTGTATAATTTCGCTCAACGGTTCCAGTGCTTCCCCTGAACTCTAGTAGGTTTAGGAGTTCCGTCGGACAATCTCCAAAGTATTTCGAGTTTTTGAAGTACACGGATAAGTACTATGCTTCGGGTAAAAGTTAGGATACACCAATATGCATAGAAGGATCTAGCGAGCATATTTGAGACCGAAGTATGCAACTGTTGGTGATCGGTCTCATGAAATGCTGGTCGACGTTTTGAGATGCGTTTCGGATAGGCAACGAATACTCAATTGGGTTGTAATACTAATTATCATGCAGCATAGTTCGAAGATAATTCAGTCACACTAGAATACCGACCTCTGAATGAACTTGTTTCCATCACCTGTAAAATTCGCACTCGGAAAAATAACTACTGAAGTACTAGTGATTTTTTCCACTGTCTTCAAGACTCTTACATTTTCAGCTACATTGTATAGGAAAAAATGGTCATACATATGCTTTTTTGTCCTCATTTAATAACAGATCACGTCTTTTATATTCGAAAAGTGGGCACAATGAGACTTAAAAGTTATTCATTTTCCGAATGATCTTGGCCTCGACTTGCCTTTGCATTAGCGTTTGGAGTTGACAGTCCGAAAAGTGTATAGTTCTGCGTGAGAAAATCATGTATTTCTCAATGTCATAGAGACATTGCTGTATGGAAGTCGAAATATTTCGGAATAGATGTGAATCATCTTGTATTAGTAATGAGGAGCGTTAATAAACATGCAGATACGATGGGCATAAAATTCTAATAATGTGAACTGCTACTAAATAAGTGCAGAAAAAAGGGACTAAGACCACATTTTCCTTAAAATATTCCTGAAATACAAAATGCACCTAGAGCCAATGCGAAGAATACACACCATTTAAACGGTCAATTTTACTGTGTGGTTTTTGTAAGCGGCCGAAAAGAGGTTTTTTCAAAAGCCGGCATCCTGATGTAACCAAAATACCTTTGCATTATGCCAAAATATAGACAGTAGTGCTACCCCATCTACATAATCCCTCGTGATTGAAAACGCATTTCAGAATTTCAGTTAAAAGTTAATGAGATCGGTCCGACAAAACCACTCCAAAATTTCCATTGGTCTGCTGTCAAGAATTCAAAAACCTTATTCATTTTTGATGCGGTACCAAATGATCATACTTCCGTCTTCGGCCTCAAAGTGCAAAGTCTATAAAACGTTACTCAAAATTATAGCCAAACATAGTTCCCAATACTGACTTAAAAACTGTTATACTTCAGGAAATAATTAACACCGATGTCCGTGTGCGTGGGACCTTTGCTCCGAATATCGGAACACACGATTATGGCTAAACTCCGACAACTAGGGGGTTTTTCATAGGCAAAAGTGCCAGAGTTTGAAAAAGGAGCAAATCGACATGCGCTCTTTCTCCAAAATCAAACGAAAAGAAAAATAACCTGGTCAAGAGTCAAAAAATCCCAAAAAGAAAGCGCACAATCGCCGTGCTTAAAAAGCCATCTTTGACACACAAACAATTATTTTGACAGTTTTCGTTTAATTTTACACAATAAAATAGAGGAAGTTTTCGACTCAGAACTTGTAGGACCAGCTTATCCTGTTTATCTTACCGTAGAAAGGCTTCCGATCGTATTTTTTTCTACAAATGTCTTATCATGGCTTGTTAATTTTCCCTGTTTATCTGTTTAGTGATTTGTAACTTTGAATGTATTGTACCCAGACAATTACCAAGTTCTTCCTAACGGACGACGAGTTGGCTTTGCGACGAATCCTTCAGGGAGAATATGTAAGTCAAAGCAAGCAAATTTTTCTGAGAGGTCGCTCGTCAACCTTTTTAGCTAGGAGTTGCCAATTTCTCTCTCTATCTCTCGGGAGTAGCTCAGCAAAGCCACCGGTTACAACCCTGCCCTGTATCCGTGTGTCCTCAGAAAAAACGCTATTGCCGAACCATAACCGGTCTGCCCAAAAGATAAAAACCCCTGTGCTTACCATACGTACTGGCTGCAAACTGGATTAACTTACGGAGAAAAATCATACTTAACTGCGAGAATGCCTTTTGTATCTAGGAGTCTGGAAAGGTCTGCTCTAAATGCGAAAATTTGAACAGCACACGCTTACATTCCCGTTGTCCAAACTTCATGGAGAGCAGGATCTCCAATTTAATATTTGAGGACTTTAACAGGTTGACTTGAATTCGTAAATCAAGACCCTAAGGGCTGCTTACTTTTCATTCCTCTTCGATAAATTAGTCTGAAGAGTTATGATCTGATTCGCGTGTACATCTTTCCCAGCTCCATAAATTCTCTTCTACACTTTATTCGTCTGTCGGCTCTTTTTCTCAACCGAGGGACTAAGGCTGTTTTTTTCATTCCTGCATTGTGGCCACAAAGCTAAAAAACTAATTTTCAGTCGTCTTCATTCGACATCAAATAAACAAAGCAGTAATAAAGTTACAAGCGACTCATTGTCCTAAAAACTACCAGCCACAATTACTCTCACTCGGATTCACGCTGACATTCGCTAAACGTGTACTGTGTTATGAAAGGTTGTTTCTTGACTTTTATTTGTGACATCAATAGTGTTTATTGGTACTGAAAGTGATTTCAGAGACCAAGAAGTATGTTGTTTGACTAAATTCACTGTAATCTGTGGAGTTGGGTGCAGCCCGAACTGTAACAGGACCTGTATGTGTAAACTGCGTATAGGCGCAATATGAATGAGCACATTTAAAGGATCGTATATCTCTAAGGGCTATGACTGCGTTTCCTAAGTCATGTTAACTTTGTTAAGCTTTTCACGGAAACTCAAGGCAGGGACATCGCCGAAGGATTCAGCCTCATTGACGTACCACAAAAGGATGGTTCAAAACTGGCAGCGGCAAAAAAGGTACTGTATGCATTTTACATTTTTGAAGTTAAGCTCAAATAAACTGTCAGCGCATCACAAACGAGCCTAGCTTCAGGACTTTAGTGCATGTTTTTGTGTCAACCTGAAGACTTTTATTATTCCATAAATGTACATGAAAAGGTACTTGACTAAATGAACATTTAGAGTTTTGAGAATAAAAGCAGATATTTTATTGTGAAGTCAAATTTCAGATAAAAGTCCTTGCAAAACGGTGTGGGTATCGCGTTAACTTAGACGAAGTATTTTGATATCATGCAGCCACTCTTCAGCTTTTATTTAAAGACCTGGGATCGGATTAAGCAAACTTGATTAAAATGATTAAAAAATAGAAAAATTGTGGTTTGCGTCAGACAAATTGTTGAAATTAGTCGGAGTAGCCCATGCGCGGGCAAAGTACTTTTATGTATTTTCTAAGCTTGGTTTGGAGAAAAACTAGAGGAAATGAACACTCCTTTAGCCGAAACCATAGCGGAGAACTTTCCAAAAAGAAAACGCACTAGAGAAGGCACATGACATTATGAACATGCCTATCGCATGCCTTGGCTGTAAACGTTTGTATTCTCATGCAGGTAAGTTCATTGTGTTAATAAGTCCTCAAGCATGACCCAAATTTTCATCTGCGAAAAAATATACCCGGGACTCAATAAATGGGTTAAAAATTTCAAGGTTTCGCTAATTTTGAAAATTTTGGCAATCATAATCTACAGAACTTGTGTTTTCGAGTAAGTTATTGAAAACACCGACAATCGCAAAGCATTCCTTAATGTTTAAGGTAGGCTTTCGGACTCGACGAGTCCCCCCATAAGCGAAAAGTACAGTAGTTTTACGTAAGAAAAATTCTCCTACTGCACAGGAGATTGTGTGCTAGTGATTGCCTCTCCTAATGATATATTAACTTCTTAGTCACTGCTCGACCTCTTTGCATGTGACACCATTAGTACGTTTATCGTTGCGACATCCGCACCCATGAAATTGAACGAAATCACCACCACAGTCAATCGCGTCTAGAAAAGACAAAAGACAATCCTACTTACAATTTTTAAACATTTGGATATAAATAAGCCGCTGAATGGCCCCTACCATGCATATTACACCAATTCTTACATGATATTTAGCAGAAGGAGGGTGCAAAGTGGTTTATTCAAAAAGTGTTCGCTTATGCTGTTTCCTTACTTTAGTTGTTTACATGAACACGAAAAATAAACTTCAGCAATTTGAATTTCCCGTAATTCGACATTGATTTTCATCAATTTTCGCATTCTTGCTTTCCATGAAAAATTGGTCATTACCAAGAAATAAAGTATTCCGCCCAACAGTTCTGTTGAGCCCGCGTTTTCCTAAAGGTCATTTTATTTTCAGTATCGTGTTACGGTCGATATATTTAGTCGGTCTTTGAGTTATAAGAAATTTATTGTGAAGTTACGCATACCTCAGAAATTAGGTTGTGGGCGGCATGCATATATGTGCATGTAGATATGGCTATCATCATTTTAGATTTGAGTTAATGTAATTATTTTATTCTAAATAATTACCCTTGCTCTCTAAAACTGGAGGTTTAATGACGAATCAACCAAAAGGATGTTTAATTAATTTACTGTATATTGGCCACTTCGGTTCAAAAATCATACATTACTCGAGCCAATTTTGTATATACCACTCTCCGCTTTGTCGTGCCATTTCCCTTCTGTTTTATCAACAGGCAGCAAGGGCGACGACCAGGTCACCAGTGGCTTCCAAAAGAGGTAATTATGTCTGGGCAGACATCTTTGATCTGATGAATATTTCCGGCAAAACATCTACCCACTCACTATGTTAAAGGGAAAATACCAAAACTCGGGCGAAGAATAAGTCAGAAAAGAATAGTCAGTTGGGCACTGGACTAAGGACTCCTGTAATAGGGTTACCTTGCGCTTAATTCCAGGGATACATATTTCCATGTCCTAACTCTAAACCTTACCCACCCCCCCCCAACACCACCCCTATTACTTACCTTCATAACGCTAACCGCCTTGGCACAGGCCGCTTGTTATACGGGGTCCGTGCCTTATCAAATAATATTCACATCGAAGCAATAACCGTGGGAAAATAAGCCTACTTTTTGCGCCTCTGTGTCCAGTTGCCCGAGACAGTCGGGAGTGAAGCGGAAGATAGGATTTTAATATGCACAATTTTAGTTTAATTTGCAGAAGTAATAATCCATAAAGGTGTGTGCCAGTGTTCTTATGAATTGAGCGAAATTCTTTCTTCTAATGAAACCAACAGACGTTATCTTTTGCTAAAGTCTCATCCGTTGATTAAATATCTACAGATTTGATGCTTCAATGGCAAGAGAGTTTCCTATTAGTTTATTTCCGGGGAAAATTTTAAATAAATATGGCTCGGTGTGGCTGAGGCGAGGCTCATGATGTTGGTAGTCAGTTGGATAAACACAAGTAAATGGAAAACTGTTGTAATGAACACCTTCGAGGGAAAAAATAAGATCGTTCCGTTTGAGTGCTTTTGATTTAAACTTGTGTCTAGGCACCGAACTGTCTCCTCAAAGGATCCTATAGCCAGTTCCAAAGTCACAATACGCATAAATGCTTCAGTCAGACACCGAAGACCTTTCGTACTGATATTTCTTCGGGATTTTAGTGCCTCGCGAAAAGAACAAAAATCTTCAACAACGAAGACCGACTCGCGAATTCGGAAATATAAAGGGTCTAGGGGAAACGATAACGCGGGAGGTGAGGAACGCACTGCGCATTTTACATCCTAAAATATGGACTTCGATTTTATCTATCTACCTCTTGCAAACGTTGACTTCATCCACTTACGTCTTTCTTATTTCGCCTAAGCGGTTGTTTCAAATGTCATCATTTTGTCTAGCAAATTTTGGACAGCTTGGAGTCAAAACATCCCTTACTGGCTGCTGGAGAAAATATTCCACCCCATGGATTACGAATACATGGGAATTACGAAGTTTCCATGATAAACTTGGCGCGTATGTTGGACTTATTATAGTTATTTTTGATACTCCGTAAAAAGACCCGTTCGCAGAGATTCATGTTTTATACTTTAAACTGCTAATGGCAGCGCATCCTTTCGACTGTAGCTCCTAAACCTAAAAATACCTTTTAATATGACTTCTCAGCAAAATTTTTTGACAAAACATGTCAAATATATGTCAGCTCGAAAAATACCTGCGGCATCATTCTTCAGTTGAGAAGGAAACTACTAGCTTAACGGATGGAAGCAGTACGCGATTATTGTGCTGAAGTTAATGACAGTGAATTCCGCAGATTTATAGACAAAGATAAAAGTACGCGCTTCAAAAATCTAAAAACCAGTTATTCGGTGATTTCACCTCAGGGTAACAAATTCAACTTAAAAAATGGAGTACATGCAGTTGATGTGCTATCCGATGAAATGTTAACCGAAATTTCGAAATGTGCTTTTGGTCAGAAGAGATTACTTAGTGGGGGTTGTAATACTAGTTATTATGCGACATCATCCTAAGACATTTCAGCCACACCAGAATGCCGGCCGCCTGCGAAGACCACTTTCTGTAAAATGGCTACTAAAGCAGTACGAAATTCATCCACCGACTTTCTATGCTCTTGTAAATTCCATTATATTTCAAAGATAACGTGCACAAACGTATTCTCTCTTGTGCTTCTTTGGTAGAAAATTGCGTATTCTTTAAATTTTTTACCTGAAAAGAGAACATCTTTCGGTTTCCAAAAACATTTTAAATTTCTGAATGATGTTTTACCTAACATGCCGTTATATTTGCGTTCAGGGGTTCAAACTAAATGCTGTGTGCATTTCGTCTAGGATATATCATATACTTTTCTATGCTGCTAGAAGGAAGCTATATAGGACTCGCAAATGGGTATGGGCCGGATTGTATACTATATAGGCATAACTAGTAAACGTGATGATGCGATGCTGTGCGGAGGAAAATTTCACGGTCTTAAAAAGCCTCAAAATTAAAAACGTTTTATAAAACCGAAAGATAAACCTTCCTTGGGCACAAAATTTAAAGGAGACGTACGTCGCTACCGAATAAGTAAAATAAAGGTCACTCCTGTGCGTGTTTTCTATAAAATATAACTGAATTTTGAGGGCATACAAAATCAATAAACTTTCATGCTACTTAAATTGACATTTTTACAGGATGAAGTTTTTGCAGACGGCCAAAAACTGAGTCCACCCATTAGCTGGCATCCTATAGTGATTGAAATATCTTAGGTGCGTGATAATTAATATTACAACACTATCTAAGTAATCTTTCTGAATTTAAAGGCAAATTAGCATTTTTGCTTAACATTTCATGAGAGAGCACAGCTAATGCAGCAGAAACTACATGAGGAACTTTGGGCGGAATCCTTCACATATGCGTCAGACAGCTAGCTAGTATACACCACAGCAACTCCTAGACCAATTGATTTCGTCGACCTTAAAAGCCGAAAGCGTTGCACATGTCCTGGGATTCCACTGATGAGATTGACGAGACTGGCGAGGTGGTGTGGCAAGGGACGCCTGAAAACGGTAACCAGTATAGCAGTTTTGGAGCAGTTTGATAAGATGGTATACGCGGAAATGTTTTGTATCTTTTAGACAGTTTGGTTCACTGCTTAATCAGACCAACCTTTTCGACTGAGTGCCACCCGACTAAAAATAATCCACCCAGAGGCACGGTTGATGCTTTTTGCCAGACAGTTGGCATAAGACTTTGATCTGTGAGCGTGCATGTGTTAGATCCAGTCCCTGATCGGACATGATAGGCGTTCTTGATAAAGAATGACCCCAACTTACCAGTTATTGTCAATAACCACGAACTTTACAATCTCCTGAAATGTTGACCAAAACTGTGAAATACGTATTCAATTAGGAAGGACTACTTCAGTATGAAGGTAATAATGACTATCTTTTGGCATAATCAAGTGATATTTTGGGCATGCAAGGATTTTAGCTTTAAAATTCTTTTCTTTTTGCCCGCCGATAATAATCGCTGTCGGCCAAAATGACAACTTAAGTAATATGCATTTTTCTATAACCACTTTCGATGGCCTTATAATTTCAAAAAAATCTTGCAAAAACGCAGGCATGAAAATATTCTTTCTTATGCTCGAAGAAAGAGTAATTTTTAGCCTTAAACAGGTTCCTCATTTTCAGAATGATTTTGAGCTCGATCTGTCATTGCATTTGCGCTTAGGGTTTTTAGTCTACTAACTGTATACTGCCCACGTAACGAAGAACATTCATTTTTCATATCTGTCAAGTAGGTGCCATATAGGGTTCATAAAATCTTGCAACGGAAGTGGACTATGTTGTATACCCTACGAGGAGGATTATTGGACACACATATTCAATGCTATTTGGACGAACATCGCACAATTTCTAAAAATCTCGTAATAAGAGACTTTTTAAAAACTAAAAGATGCCACTTCTCCGAGTATGAGATTTGGGAAAAGACGCGGTTTACTACCAAATAAGTACAAGAGATGATATTTTATGCATTTTTTCCTGCAAAATATATTTGGATTTATAGGGGCATCTAAATACAATAGTAAAGACGCCTACTACTTAAATAGTCGTCTTTTACCGGGTACAGTAATTGTAGACGGCCGAAAAGAAGGGCATCTAAAAGCCAGCATCGTGGCGTGTCTGAAATATTTGCGGCACCCTGCCGCACGATAATCGGTATTACAACTTCACTTAGGTTATCCTTCCTACTCAAATGCACATTTAATAATTTCGTTCAACATTTAATGAGATCGGTAATTGACAGTATGTCCACCTCTGATTTCACCGCGCCTAGTTATTTTCTTTGCCAATGAATGCCAAGGACACTGTATCCACAACGCTCGACTTGATCGACTGTGAAAGTGAGTTTGCTTCCAACATCCTAGGTGAAACTATTGGCCATTTTTCAGAATTCAAATATTAGTTGAGTGGTAGACACAAGATGCAGTGTGCCGCTAAACGAGTCAATAAATACTCGACCTTGCCGAAGTGACATTATATAGACTTGAGTATCACAGGTGTTAAACAGCAGTCTAGAGAGTTTGTGCCCACATAGATAACCCTGGAAATCTTTGTGATATTATCGGCTGAAGCTTCAAAGGTTAAAGTACCCCAATTTACATTTGTTATTTTGGTAAGTGAGCCCGTTTTTGAGTGCTCCACTCATAGACTTTCTTCACTTTGAGAATTTGTACTGTAATGATTTCTTAAGCGTTTTTATTTCCAGACAATAAGATAAGTGTTGAGGGACTCAAACGTCTGACGGATATGCTTCAGATCCAAATGGAGCGGCGTAGTACAACACGTGGTGAAACACTGACCGGGATAACTCGATTGGTTCTTTCGGTGAGTCTTAAAACGCTCCCAAGATCTTTCGGCACCCGACTCTTGTTGCCACGCGCTCTCTCACGCTTACTGTAACTGAACCCATCATCAGAGACAGAGGCAGAAAAGGGTGACTCGTGCACAGGAAGTTGCTGTACTTATAGGATGCAGTCGCTATGCTACCATATACCTGTAGCAATTAACCACGCTCCCCTTCATCAAGGATTGTTGCCCGCTGGTGCGCTAATTGTTTGATGGCCGGCATGCAAGTTGCTAATTGCTGAAATCTCATCAGCCGCGTTGGATGCTGGCGTGATGACTGCTCGGTCGTCTGGCTCACCGGCTTGCGCGCTCCCCGAGTGGTCAATTACGTCAGGCGAATAAAGCCCTTGTTCCAGCTATCGCTTCTTACTATCGAACGTCAGTCTACAGAAAACCGATGAACACACTGCAAATGCTCAGTTTCAACAACAACCACCCGCTACAACACAAACGAAGCTGTGTCCGCACGCTATACCGACGGGTGAAAACTTATGCAGCACGCCAGCCGCCAAACTGGACGAGATAAATTTCCTCCAAGAACTCTTCAGAGCCAACGGCTATCAGCGAGCAGTCGTTGAGCGGAGCCGAATGCAACCAAGTAGACGAAATGAAGAACACAGTCAGCCAAAATCGTGGCGGAGCATTCAATACATGAAAGGGGTCTCAGAAGCCGTGGCTAGATCCCTCGCGCCGCTAGGAATGGGTGTTGCACATAGGCCCGACTCAACAATCCGCCGGCAAATGATGCGACCAAAAGACCCGATCCTTAATCAGGAGATGTCGGCTGTTGTGTACCAAACTCAATGCAGCTGCGGGAAGTGCAACTACGTTGGAGAAACCGGCCGACGGCTGCGAACGCGAATGCACGAAAGGTCGGACCCATAGTTGGAGGTAGCAACTCATGCCGCGCAAATGGGACACATCTTCAACTTTGAGGCCGTTGAGATTGTGTGCCGGGGCGATGATAATACAACAAGGCAGGTGCAAGAGGCCTGGATGTCCACCGACTGCTCTGTCAACCGCCACAGCAATTTGCCTCCCTCCTCCCCCCTAGCTGACTTTACGAACCTTCTTAAAGAGCGACAGTCACGGCGCGGGGCCATCAGGGCCTTCAGCTATCTCCGTGGCCAACGAGGGCAGGGGCTTCTCAGGTCACGGTGACATGCGGGTCGGATGCAGCCACACAGGCGCCACTGGCGGGCCACGCATCGAAGTGCACCATATAAGGAGAGCTGTGCGCATGACTTCCCAGTCTCTGAAGATGGGTAGACGAAACAACTTCTCGAAACGCCAGACCTCCAATAAACCTCACCCGGCGGACGCCTCCTTCTCTTTTGATAGTTGGAGGCGTTTAGCCGGGTTACAACGCCCGTCTGGGTGTGCCACCACACGGCCGACTTTTTTTACTGATTGATTCAGCCCTCGAGCACATAGCTTCGTCATGTGGAGGGAACCCTGCTGTATACATTCATCCAATTTAGTCTGCAGGTTGAAGTGGTTACTAGCATCTGGCCGCTACGACAAGCACAGTCTAGTGGAGTTTCAAATGAAAAATGTCTGTCAGTTAGGTGACAAACAGAAAAATTGCTGCTTGCATACGAGCCCATGGAACAGCTGTCACTCCTACCAGGCGCCACTCCTGTGGAAACTATACACCCAAAGTGACAGAAGATTATCCATTCTCACCAGTAGACCCTTAGCATCCAAAAAAATCGGCATTGAGCTAAATCACAAAAATGTGCGTTTTGGGAGCTTTCTGTTAAATACAACGAAGCATTAGGATAGAAACTATTCGTAGTTTCTTCTAGACGCCTGACTTGCCAGAGTAAAAGCCAACTTCAACAGGCAGACATTAATATCAAAATAGCCCAATACCTATTTTAAAGTCTTCTCTTATTTAAGGAACAGAGATGTCGTGTGGCTAGTGGTTAACTATATTTTCCTTTACAATTCATCTGCTCGACGTCAGACCCGTTAAAGTTAACCCTAACAAAATGAGAAATGGACGTGTTTTATGATATTCGGTGCTTTCTCCATAACATAAACCGTAGACTAATCTAGAACTTGAGCCCACATGAGTAAACAAGGGATTCCTTTTTTCAGGGCAATAATTTTGACGAAAGCGTTGAAGAGGCGGAACAACTGCGCCATCTGCTCAGAGAAAGGACAGAGGATCTCTGGTCAACGGACGTGTCGGAGACCGCGTCTGCGAATGACTGAGGGTTGCGTATTTAAAAATAAATGAAACGGTCCTTGTCGTCCGCTAAGCCAATTTAATCACGTGTATGCATTTCTCTCCCCCCGCCACCCCTATCTAGCTTTCTGTGCATATTAGTTTGTTTTTTTTTCACTTGCAATATTAAATTTTTTGAATTCAGATTGGAGACTTTAAGGAGATGCTTAGTGAAATGAGGTACATGATTTCCTGGCGAATATAAATGCGTAAGTAAGCATCCCAGTCTCCTGGAGTTTTTGCATAAATTCTCCTAAATTCTTTAATGCTTACAGTAATCCGAGGGCTGTAACCTTGGTTCCGGGGAAGGGGACTGTTTGCGGTCTGTCCTGCATTTCGGCCTGATCACGCATGCTAAGTCCTCCTGGTAATTACGCACAACTGTAACTGCCAGTTTATGGGGCAGGTCCGACTGCGCTCCAGTCGAACTCGATTGGGCTCCACTTAGACCGATTCTTTCACTTCGAATAATTGAGTCCTCCTCCCTCTAGGTCGCTGCGTTATCTTCCTCTCGTCTGACGCCATTTTTGTAGGTACAATTCGCTTGACTCAAGCTCACTTTCCGCAAACATGTTCTGTCGGTCCCACGCATTGAAAATGTCTGCGATAACACGGAAAACGCTGAAGTAGTTGGTCTGAAATATCTAAAAGCATTCATATCATTCAGCGGCTGGCGGCCAACGGGATACGTGCTTGGATTTTAAAGTGTACCTGTGCTGTGGAAAGTGGTGGGGCCGCAGTTGAGAGCAGTAAACCCTCAGATCTTTGGAATGCATAAGAGTTTGTAGTTTGCTCAAGGAAAACACGACAGGCATTACTACGCATTGGACTGGGGCGCAGATTATACTAGATGGAACATCACGTTTTAAACAAAATCCATTTATGCGCAGTTCCTGTATGTATTTTACTTCAGCATTACAAGAAGCACGAAAGCCTGACAGTTTGCCCTGACCGGGACCGATCATCACTTAAATCACCTAATGCATTTGCACCAATAAAGGAAGTTGCGAAGATTGTCCTGTGTCTGTCCATACTCGTTGAAATCTAAGGAAAAATAAGACTCTGTGGATGCTTATCTCTGTTATATGACACCAGTGCCCAGTACAATTAAAACGCTAATGAAATTCGAATTTCTCAGGAAAAGTATAGTTTTTTAGTCACTGCCATTTATTGCCTGGAAATCACTGTGACCTCCAGGCTAACTGTTTAATCAGCCTATGAGTGCATCCAGCAATGCGTTGTGGCGAAAAAATCCAACAGGCCAGGCTGCTATTGCATTCTGCTAAATGTTCCCCAATTGCTCTTTCATCTGCATTTCTTCGAACGTATGCAGAAGGAATTAAAAGAAAAGACTGAAAGGAGATATACCGCGCGCGAACTTTCAAACATTTTTAATTAATCGGAGGTAAACGCCAAAGAACAGTGTGGAGTACGTCGACTACTGTCCATGACGTCAATAGGACGCGTTTATTCATCGTACTGGGGTGAAGATGTGACCTCAGTGTGGTCCTTGTCAAGCGACACGGGACTGGCGACGGTGATGATACCCTAAAACAGAACTGTTCCTCAGGGATACGGTAGGACGGTGGGCCGTAATATCAGAAAGATATCGTGAATACTCTGCAAATACATGCCTCCGCCCAGGGTGTCTTTTGACCCTTACTTTTGACACTAATGATTTTTTTCCTGAGTTCAAAGGCGACTGACAGTTCCCAAAGGAAGCTATAATAAAGCTAAACCTATTAACCTACTGCAGGTAGCTGCAGCGCAGACAGCATAAGCAAGTTTCCTGCGGTCTTACGAGTAAACTACCTCCTGTTATTCGTTTTCGAACGACGGAGCCAACGAGACCACCTGCTGAATTCTCTGCCGGCTTTTGGCCCCATCTTCTCTGTCCATATGGCGAGCAATGATGCCCAGGCCAAGGCCAAGTTAAATGGCGCCCGCGATTCTGTTCAACATGTCAATATTTTAGGTGGCGACAAGTTCACATCGAAAATTACTTAAACCACTCTATTTCAAACGACGGAGAGTTGGGAGACTCATATGAGAAAACCATTTAGTTTTAGGGAGGACGAGGCCGCCAATAATTTCTATAAGTTCAAACTTGTTGGACTGGGACACCGTCATGTCTGCCGACGAAATAAAGCTTCGGGACCTCATTCACAAAGATTATGTTGAAGCACATCTATCGGCCAACTTGCATCGACTCGAGCGTTGGTCAAATCACTGGCTCCACCGATTCAATGTTAACAAGTGCAAGACTCTGAGGATCGGCAGAACCACCATTTTAGATCGGAGGATTTACTATCTGAACCACACACGACAGTGAAACTATGGTTCCCGAGCTCGCCTATTCTTTCATAATTCGGTATATATAAGGGAGATTGGCAGAGCCTTGGAAAGACCTATTTACAGAAATAGGCCGGAAAAACATGTATGTGGTTACCTACCCATAAGAGTACATCATGTCACTTCTTGTCAAGTAGGTCTATGGTTGTCGTGCAAAGTGCTACCAGGTCTTTGTTTAAATGTCTGAACCTCTTACGCCAGAACAGAGGAATTAGTAGTAATACGTGCATTTAATGCCAGTTAACAGGACCTGTCAAATAAAGATAAAGCAAAAATCGGGCTAACAGTGAAAAAACTTTATGATTAAATACTGAGGATGGTGTTTGTGTAGTTTGGATGGTTCAGGGGAAAAACTGCTGCCATAAAATGACGTCAGTCCAGAAAGGGGAAGGTAACGCTGCATCGGATAATTCAATCTCCAAATCTTCACAAGAAAGTGGCACTGGACCAAACAGAAGTATTGAGGAACCGTTGTTCGCTGGCGGCTGAAGAAATTGTCCGAGGTGAGACGGGCCAGAGGGATCAGAGATCACGAACTTCATCACTACAGTAGATCAGATCGGTGAAAATCGCACCCAAAATATGTTGGAGATTCTCTGCTTGCAAAAAAATGAGCAATAGCTCTCTTAAACAAAAGGTAATTTTACAGAATTATTGCAATTCTGCTTTATTTGTTCCAAATTGCAATTAGGTAGCTTGTTCAATTTCTCAATCATCCGGCGAAAGAAAATTTGGCCCCTACTTTAAATTTGGCGTAATTTGTCTTGAATTTTTATCGATGGCCTCAGAGATTTGCCGTTTGTTTTGGTTCAAAACCAGTGTCTAATATAGTGTTCTGGGTGTTGGATTTTGCTATGCTTGAGGAGTGATGCTATTTCTACTTACTTCTGATCGCAAAACTCTCGTGATAGGTTCTCGGTATTCATCACGGCGTGCCAACATTTCATTGCTCAACCTATTTTTGACTGATTTCAGTAGTTCACAGCGTTCTTCCGAATTGGTGGTCGGTGGTCCGTCGCGCTTAGTTGAGAGCGAGTTAAATATTTCCGCTAAATTTTTTTACAGGAAATAGAAAACGGTTAACAATTGAGGGCAGATGGTTATTTGCCAGGTATCTATCGTTTTGTTCGCCGGCTGTCCGAACGTTGCCTAACGGTTAGAAGCGCTGGGCCCCGTTCGAAAGGTCCGTGGTTCAAATCCTTCCCGCGGCGGCAACCTCATGTCACATGTAGTAGGGTCGTAGACATACGCCTTTCCCATGCTAGAAAGATCTCTACAAGACTGCGTTAATTTGTTGCGTTGGCAAGTGGATAATTTGCTGAGCACCGAAGGAAGTTCAACATCAAATGTCAGTTTGAAGCAAAGGACGACTTAGCCTTTGCAGATAGATTGTCAATAGGTCTACGTTTTCTGCTGATTTCCGATGACTTCGCTGGCGACAGACTGATTTCGGAAGCATACCGAAGTCGACATTCAGGGGAGCAAGATACTTCGTTGAGCTCCTAATCGCGATTTACGACGAGGCGCAATGGAGGAAGATGTCGCTAATATTGTAATACACGGAAAGGAATGTTAATTGCACTTCTTAACTAATTTCTCACTTTATTTCGACGAGGCGTAACTTCGGGTAAAGATGGATGACCTACATATTAAAACAAAGGAAGACTAGCAAAGAAGACAAGTAGGTGTTCAGAAGGATCTATGAATGTGAATCACGTCCTCATTAAAGTAACGAATTCCACAATATCAGGCTTATATCTCATCAAGCGAACTTTGCAAGGTTTGACGACAAGGTCTTCGGATTGTTTATATTTCCAAGGCTACAATGCGTCGTTCAAGCCTAGAGACCTTGGACTGTAAAGGTCGCAGCCCTCCTGAAAAAGTCCAACTATGCGCAACCAAACTAGTCCGAGGCCAAGGATAACTGCGCAATCTCGCCCTGTTTCTTTAGGGTTACTGCCAGCTACAAGGCGACTAGATAAAAGCGCTCCACACGTTGGGAAGTCAGGAATGTTGTCTTGCATCCGTGGACTTTGTCGAACTAGTTACTATAAAGAACTTGAGGGGACGTCCACTTAAACTACCTGCATTGGGGACAAGACTAAATGCCAGGAGTTTAGTATTCATCAACAGAGGGATTAAAACATAGAATACTCTGCTTGAGAATGTGACCATGGCTCCATCCGCAGACATTTTGATCAGGAACCCTGACCGGCACAGTCGTAGGTACTACCATGCCATCAGAACCCAACCTATTTATCTCCTTATGTCGTCACCGGCGAAATTTACCCGCCACCAAATATACAACTCACCCTTTTTTCGCTGATAATATTTTACAGTTGCTTCGGTAAAAAGGAGAGCTCGGTGAAAAACCAAGCATCGTCTAGCACAATCCCATAGATGCTTAAGCGTTCACTTACGCCTCGGAAATACATATTTTATACGCTCACTATTTCCGACGCATCACGCATACATTAACAGGTATTTGAAGTTCGACAGACAGCTACGCCCTTGTCACGCTCACTTCTTTAAAAAATCTTCTTCTCAACGTTCCTTATGTATGAAGGGGTTTGTTTGCCTTTTCTTTACAAAAGTGAAAAATCTGAACCCAAACTGAAACTCTGAAGGCGTCTCA